TCTTCCATGCGTTGATGTATTCTGGGCTTCCGCCAAGCTTCCGCTTGGAAGGGTCAAGATATCGTTGGCTCAGTGCGGTTCCGTGGCGCCCTCTTACCACCTGTGCAAGGAGGGGGTTTGTCCATAACCACCGCGTGGAACACTGACTTTCGGGGACCTCGGCAGGCGGGCGGTAGGCGGCGGGTATGAATATATTTGCCGTCCCCAAGGCCCGATTATATGTATGTCCACCGCCTGCCAAAGTCCCAGAAGACCGATCCCGCAGGCGATGATTCTGGATAAATCCCCGCCTCGGGCATCTGGACATTGCTTCCATGGGCCATCCACAGGCTTCTGAAGAGGGCGAGGGGTCAACCCTTCGCTCCCTTGAACCGAAAACCATGCATTGCAAGTCGAAACCAGGACGAGGATAGAAGCAGGCGGGGATGAATCGAGCATCTCTCAAGTCCGGTGGCTCTGGAGGATGTCTTGGGCGCCGCGGCCTTCTCGGAGCGCTCCAGAACGCTCAGGAAGCGTTCCGGAACGGACTTATCAGGGAGCCCACGAAGGACGGAACACGGCCCCTTGAAACGCGAGACCGGCCGCGTGATACGAACATTCGCGCCATGCGAATTCTCGAAACCAGCGCAGATTCATGTACGTGTGCGTCCTTCTTTCGCTCCCGACTTATTCCACCCACGCCCGGCCTTGATCTGCCCATGCCCGAACGCCGAGCCGCCCGTCGCGCAAAGGCGCCACGGCAAGCACCGAGACCCGGATCGTCGCGGGGGCGGGCGGGCGCGACGGCGCCTGGCTCCCAGAGGTAGCCAGAGAGAGAGAGAGAGGGAAAGAGGGAGCGGGCCACACGCGTGGAAGGGGAAGGAGGAGGATAAGGAGGAGGAGGAGGAGGAGCCGGATGATGATGAGGAGGAGGAGGAGCCGGATGATGAGGAGGAGGAGGAGCCGGATGATGATGAGGAGGAGGAGGAGGGAGAGGAGGAGCAGGAGACAGAGGAGTAGGAGGAGGAGGACGAGGGGGAGGAGGACAAGCTAGGTGCGCTCGCGTCATATCTGACATCCTACCCCTCCCTCCCATCCCTTACCATGGCGTAGATCCCCTCTCTACTCGCACAGTCGGATGTCGAGCAGGGCAATGATCCCGAGAGGGTACGCGATGCATTGTCGAGCACGGCATGGCATGGCGTAGACGAGCACCGCAAAGCGTAGTATGTCACAGCATGGCGTGGCGTGGCGTAGTGAAGAATTGCAACACAAAGTTTTGCAACGCAAAGCATGGCATCGCACAGCGGCCCCGAACATAACATTGCGTAGCATGGCGTTGAAGATCAAAGCGTAGCATGGCATAGCACGACGTGGCACTTGAGCACTGCATATCACAGCTTCAGCTGAAGGCATGGCATCGCGCAGCGGAACGCAACCTAGCATTGCATTGCATGCCGTGGCATGGCACGGGAAATGACGCCAGCGCTGCAGCGGGAGCACGATTCGGAACGAGGGGAAGCGCGGAAATGAGGCCAGCGCTGCAGCGGGAACACGATTCGGAACGAGGGGAAGCGCGGAAATGAGGCCAGCGCTGCAGCGGGAGCAGGATTCGGAACGAGCGGAAGCACGGAAATGAAGCCAGCGCTGCAGCGGGAGCACGATTCGGAACGAGCGGAAGCACGGAAATGAGGCCAGCGCTGCAGCGGGAGCACGATTCGGAACGAGCGCGGCCCGAAAATGAGGCCGGCGCCTCAGCGAGAGCAGCAATTTGAAAAAAATGCAAGCGAAAACCCAACTCCGGGGAATCCTGTGTAAAAAAACAATACGCGGGGGGGGGGGGCGAACACTCCCAACCCGTCATCAGGGGAAGGAGGAGAGTAGTATTCACACTGAGTAATTGTGGAAGGGGAGGAGGAGGACGAGGAGGAGAAAACCAACGTACATGAGTGGAGGTAGATCAAGTGGATCAAGAAATGCGTCGTCGACGCCTCGCATCCCGTGAGGAGGGGCGGTCCCCCCCCGAGCCTGCACAGCAGGACGTGCCCAATGGTGCCCCGTGGGAACTGCCGTCCGTCACGGAACGCAGGGGGAGGCCGTTCTGACCGCCCCCCCCAAATTCCCGGGAACAACTCAGGACATCCCATCCCTCGTGCCGGAGATGCCACCGTCCTTGATCAACATAACGCTCGGGATCAACCCGACGACGACGCGGTCGCCGTACAGACGTTGGGTGCCGGAGCCCACCCTCCTTGACGGCGAGTCTGCTGGAACCACTTTCCCTCGTCAGAATGTTAAGTGTTGGAGCCCACGGCGTGGGCTGCTGGAACCATTGTCCCTCGCAATGATTGGGAACTGGAGCCCACCCTTCTTGACGACATATTCGGCTGGAGCCGCTTTCACTCGATAAAGTTGGGTGCTGGAGCCACACCCCGCTCAGGGCTATGAACGAATACCTTGGGAAGGGGGGGGTACGGGGCCCAAGGGTGGGTGTCCTAGCATCCTAGCGTTGTAGTCACGCCTCGCCCTCACACGGGGGCAGTCCGCGTGCGAGTGCGCGCGCGTGCGCGCGCGTGCACGCGTGCGTGATCGTGCGCGCGCGTGATCGTGCGCGTGTGCGCGTCCGTGCTCGTTCATGCGCGTTCCTGCGCGCCTGCGTGCGCGCGTGCCCCCGCGAGCACGCTCAGGCGCGAGCGCGAGCCCGAGCCCGAGCGCGAGCGCGAGCCGGACCCCGAGCCCGAGCGCGAGATGGAGACCGAACCCGAGCCCAAGCTCCATCCTGAGCGCGTGCGCGTGTGGGGGCGCGTGGCCCGAGCGCGAGCTTGAGGCCGAGCCCGGGCGCGAGCTTGAGGCCGAGCCGGGGCGCGAGCTTGAGGCCGAGCCCGAACACGAGCCCCATGCTGAGCGCGTGCGCGCGCGGGTGCGCGCGCGGGTGTGCGTGCGCGTGCGTGGAAACGCGCTTCCGATCTGTTGACACGCTTGCGACAAAAAGCATGTCACCTCCTTACGTCTTTTACGAGCGCACTTCTACGTCGCAGCGCGGCAGCGGCGGTCCGCACGCGCGTTCGGGCGGCCCGGGCAAAAGGAGAGCGCAAGTCAACCAGCGGCAGGGGGGGACAGCGGCCGCAGGAGGAGGAGGAGGAGGAGGAGGAGGAGGAGGAGGAGGAGGAGGAGGAGGAGGAGGTGGCAGCAAGACGTGTCACCTGACTGTGGTGTGTCCTGCCGCGTCCCACGTCGAGGACCAACGTGAGCCCCATGGCGCAGGCGGCCCGCCGGCCCAGGCGACGGGGGAGACCCCGCGGGGGCGGCGCGGGGCGCGGGCGGCCCACGGGCGGCGCGAGCAGGCGCGCGTCCAGAAGCCAGGAGGAGGGCCGAAGCGCTCGCGCAGCTCGCGCCGAAGGAGGGAGGAGGGGGCCAGGCGGAGGCCAGGGGGAGGGCCGAAGCGCTCGCCAGGAGGAGGCCAGGAGGAGGCCAGGAGCTCGCGCGCTCGCCAGGAGGAGGCCAGGAGGAGGGCCCAAGCGCTCGCGCAGCCCGCGCGGCCGCGCGCGCGCAGCACGCGCCGCGCCGCGCGGATGTCGTCGGATCTGTTTCTCGTCGCTCGCCACTCTGGGGGGGCAGCTATCCTTCGCTCGCCGGTTTTTGTGGGGGGCCCGCGCGAGGGGGCGGTCTGCGCCCTCGCCCGCGCGCCGTGCACATGTCGCTTGGGAGCGGCGCTCGCCGCGAGGGCGCGGCGCACCGCTCGTTCGCCGAGTCGCACGGACGCAGGGGACGGCGGCGGCGGTGCCGTGCGAGGGCAGGGAAAAAATGCCGACCTCGCCGAGGCGCCGCGCCGTGCGGGAGCGAACGTGGCAGTGCTGTGTCAGCGCGGTGCACTGCTTCGCACCCGCCGCGCCCGTCGGAAGCGTTGCCGCGCTCGCCCCGTGCGCGGCCCGCGCAGGTTTCCCTCCGCCAGATCGTCGGAAAATAGGGCCGCGCGCGAGCGCCTTCCCGCCGGGTGGGGCTGCGTGCCAACCGAGCACCAACGTGTGCCACAACTAATTGTTATGTCATGGCAGGGAGGGGAGGGAGGGAGCCCCTCCTCCTCGACCACCTCCTCCCCCTCCTCCTCATCCTGATCATCCTCCTCCTCCTCCTGCTCCTCCTCCTTCTCGTCGACCACCTCCTCCTCCTCCTCCTCCTCGACCACCTCCTCCTCCTCCTCCTCCTCCTCCTCCTCCTCCTCCTCCTCCTCCTCCTCCTCCTCTCCGTCGACCACATCCTCCGCCTCCTACGCCTCCGCCTCATCCTGATCCTCCTGCCCTTCCTCCTCCTCCTCCTCCTCCTCCTCCTCCACCTCCTCCTCCGGGTGGGAACAGGCGGAGCCCTCTGACTCGCTTCACCTCTTCAGCTTGACTCTGCCCGCACTGCTACACCACACCTGCCTGCATGGACGTACCCTGCTCACACCTTCATGCCCGCCGGTCGGAAGGAGCGGGTAGAACCACGAAGTAAGAAGGCGTTGGAAGTAGATTGGGTGTCCGCCCGCCCCCTGAAGAGGAGGGAGGAGGGAACACCGTCCGACTCTTGAAGTAGGAAGGCGGCGAAAGTAGACTGGGATCTGGGCATCCAGCAATACCTGCTTCCAGCGGCCGGCGTGCATCCCTCCGCCGCACCTCACCAGCGCTTGCCGCCCACCCTGCCAGCCCCCCCCTGCGTTCATTCTGCCCCCCCTCCCCCTAGAGGCCACGAGCCGGGCCCACGCTGCACCAAGCACGCCACCAGGACGTGTCCTTCTCTCCACTTCCAGGCATGCACGTCGTTCATTTCGAATCGTGCTCATTTCTACTTGTGCTCGTTCCTAAGTGTTCCTGGCCCCCTAGTGGCCAGAACAAGGCCCAGAGTAGAAGAATGAGGAATGAAAAGATCTTGCCCCCCCAGAAAGTCAAAGAACTTGCGAAGAATTAGAGATGAACCGTGTGTATCCTTCTCTCCACTTCCAGACATACCTCTCCTCCGCCTGCCTGCTTCCCCATTGCGGCGGCCATCCTCGCTGGATGCGGAGGACGGTGGGCGATCTTCGGCTGCCTCAGCACGCGAGAATGCGGTGGGATGTTGGTGAAGACAGGCGAGGGCGAGACGACCATCGGGCAAGAAGTGGGAATTTGGGCACACCTGTCGGCACTTCGCTAGATTCAAGCCCATGTCATACCACCAATTGATCGAACCCAGGGAGGTCGAACCTTCCAGCACTCACTGCTTGCAGCGAGTCTCATGCATGGAAGACCTTCTTGCGTAATGCTGCATTCCCTCTGTTACGTGCACCTGAGCGACGCCTACGGCCGGCGCGTTTGAACGCCCCTGGGCTGGTTGTCGGCGCCATCCCGGAGTGGACCTGCGAGCTGCTGGCCTGTCTGTCGCTGGAGTTGGCCACATTTGCGTCGAAGCACCCGAGGGTTGAAGCCCGGTGCCGCCCCTCAGGCCTTCAAGCTGAAAGCAGGAGGGATTACACCCTGCGAAATGCTTAAGAAATCATGGGTTAAGAAATTCAGAGTCTCAGAACTTGAATAAAAACCCAACATTTCTGTTAAAATCTTAAGATCTACATTGAAACGTTAAGAATAATCGAGACTCTGTCCGAAAACTTAAGTTTTCTTCAGCATCGCCTAAGGTGTACGCTGGGCAGGGGCGGTCCTGCTGCCTCACGGCTCCTGGCAGCCCCCTCGGCAACGCCCCTCCACAAAAGCACGCCTCACGCAGCGACCTTTTTCTGGTGGTCTGCGCCGCGTGTCCTTGCTCCCGTCCTGCATCCTCTCCTCACCTCGCTGGCTGCATCGGTCGACTCGGTCTTCGCTGCAGGCGACCGACGGACCCGCCAGCCGCATCCACCACGGCCATGGGGAACCAATGTTTGATGCGTCTGGCGGTGACGTCTCATTGGTTATGCAAGCAATCGCTGTTGCGCCCCCGGCCCCCCCCGAAGCAAGACCGAGACGCGGCACGAGGTCGCAAAGTCCACTGCGCGATCTGTTTGACAACAACGTCGGCGCGACAAGCAGGCATTGCGGCCAGCCATCGGTTGGGAGAGGAGCGTGGGGAACTCGATCAAGCGCACGAGACGTCACAAGAATGGCGCGAACACGCGAGGACGGGGCAATCCAGTGGATGTGGAAGCAATGCCGTAGACCAGAAGCGACCAGAAGCACTCCTGAGCGAATGACACAAATATGGCACATCGGGATGGTCGACCCCTCACGCTGAATAACTCTGGCAGTTCCAACGCGTGGCAGATCCACTCGCATCACATGACCATTCGTAGCGAAACAAACCGCTGGCAGCGCCCTGTGTCTAACTTCCAAACCCTGCTCAACGAATCGTCTTATTTTCGGGTGTCATGCTGTTTTACAAGCCTCGGCTAAATTTTACTTCCATACGCAAGCCGCCTGTGCACCTCCGCATCCTTCCCCATCTTAGAACATACCCATCGTGCATCGTTCAACTGGCTTGCTGCTGCCGCTGCCTCCATGCATCGTGCGAGTTCATGCGCCTGGATGGTGGAACATCTGGGCACTAGTACGGCCTAATTTGTTCCACCGCGACCAGCGCCCCGCCGACACAATTCAACAAGGGGTTGTGAAGAGCAACGAACTGCGAGCATTGGTCGCCTTCGCTCGTGGGAATCAAACTGAAGGGGTCACCATGAATTCTAAGACGGCCCACGAGGGCTCCAGGAGAGGCCCAAGAGGAGCAATACGAGCTAACACCTCAAGCTGTTGCCCCCGCCATGGCACCAGACGCCTCCCAGAGACCCCCCGAGGCGCCCCCCAGGGGCCCCCAAGAGACCTCCAAAAGGCCCCGAAGAGACCCCCCGAAAGCCCCCAATAGGCCTTAAACAACGAACCAGATGCCCCCCCCCCCCAAGCCTTCTGAGCGGCCCTTTAAACGCCCCAAACGCCAACCAAATGCCCCCTACGAGACCCTCTCATGTATCCGAGAGGCTCTTCCAGAAAGCTCCCAACCAACACCACGAGCCAGCAGGAACCGAGAAGAAGGCCCCCGGAGCCTCCGACGGAGGCCTCCCTGCTGCCCCCTCAAGCAACCCCGTGATGAACCCACACGTTTTCCTAATCCCCCTGCTTTCCTTCCTCCCTCCGCCCTCCTCCTTCCAACCTCCGCGCCTCCTTCTCCTCCTTCTCCTACTCCTTCCTCCTCGTCCTCGTCCTCGTCCTCGTCCTCGTCCTCGTCCTCCTCCTCCCTCCTCCTCCTCCTTCCTCCTCCTCCTCCTCCTCCTCTCCTCCTACTCCTCCTCCTCCTCCTCCTCCTCCTCCTCCTCCTCCTCCTCCTCCTCCTCCTCCTCCTCCTCCTCTCTCGCGGGCTTGAAAAAAAACACCCAGCCACTCCAACTGCAACATGCCTGGACGTCTTTGCCCCACTGGGGGTCGGTGGAATGACGCAGACCACTTGCATCGAACCGATGGGGGTCACCACGACGTCAATTATTGTGCATCTGTTCGTGCTCCTCCTCCTCCTCCTCCGCCTCCTCCTCCGACTCCGTGCACAAATGCTTGACTGTGCATCGCGATGTTTGCCATCAATGCTTGACTGTGCACCGCGATGTTTGCCATCGGTCCAGAGCCGCCCCCCGAGCTCCGGGCACGCCCAGCGACATGTCGTTCCTGCTGCCGAGGAGGTGGTGCGTGGTGGTGGCCCGCCTCCAGGAGGAGGAGGAGGAGGAGGAGGAGGAGGAGGAGCAGGAGGAGGATGATGAAGAGGAGGACGTGCTCCCCGACCAGGCACTTCTATCAGACCATGGAGAGGCGACACCAGCACCACCAGGGCGAGGAGATGCGAGGAGCAATGGGGGTCTCCCTGGTGGTGTGGTCCCCCCTCTCGCTCGAGGCATCCCCAGCCTCCAGCTCGGGGAGGCATCGTGGACCTCCTCGCTGGAGGTGGCCCCCCTGGTGGTGTTGGTGTCGCTTCTCCCCCTGACTCTAGACTTTACGTTTGCAGGGAAATCGGGACAACCTCTCGGGCCACTAGTCAGACACCCTAGCTCCAACCGAAGGAGGGTAAGGTCCGACGACCATGAGCGGGATGCCGACCGTGGACGTGGACCCAACAGTCTGCCCAGCAAACGGGGGCAGCGACCGATGCGCAGTACCGCGGCGCACTCTCGAGGCTGCATGCGCGGGTGCCAGGCCGCGGCACGCAACCATTGGGCACAGTGCTCCAGATCAGGAAGCCGACTCCAACCCCTGCACCCCGCCTCCACCACTTAACTCCCCCTCCTTCTCCAGGAGGGGTGGCTGAGGGAGGGGGGGCAGACGTACGCGCAGGACCTGGGGTCCAGATGTGCAAACTCCGCCACTGCCGCCGCCTGTTTCAATCCGACGAAAAGGCTGAGACACGCAGGCCAGGCCATGGGTTTGCATTTGCTCCTGGCCTGAACTTTGACAGCGTGCCCCCTCTCCCCGAAGAACACATCATGAAAGAAGATGAGTCCCCTCCCTTTCCCGAAGCCCCTACCCTGGCCAGAGGGCGGTTGAAACTAGACTATTGAGGGCGGTTTGGTCACAGACCCATGCGCCTGCTTTTGTGTCTCGCACGCCCTGGAAACTGCCTTCCCAGTTGCCAGCAAGACCCACACGTACACATGGTGGATGCGACTTGGCCGACCACCACGTGGCCAAATGGGGGAAGGGGAGGAAGAGGGCGCTCGGCCATGACACATAGGGCCTCGCAAGCGGGGCAGATGTTACCCTCCGGTCACATTGCGGGGTGTGTGGCTCGTACACCGTGGCAGCGCAACGACTGGGCATCTGTGGTAGCTCGGCGACGCACGCCACCCTCGTTCACTTTGGTAGCCAAGGCCGTTTTGGCGTGACTTAGGGTCGACATGTTTTCATACCTCGGATGGGTTTCGAGTGTCAAATGCCGAGTCGGCCTGGCTGTCGCGCCCCCGCCCAACGCATTGATCTTGCAACTTGCCAAGTCCATCTGTGAGTTTCTGGAGGCTCAGACCTGCCCCATGGATGGCAACACCCCAGGTCGGCCCTGTCAAGAAACTTGAAATTCAACTCCCTAGCAACTGTGGACGCCCGAAAGCCTCTGTTGGGCAGGCGGCCTTCTGTCTCAAAGGGACAACGTCCGCAGCGGCACCGACGGCGAGTCCTGTTCAAAATGGGCAGGAAATACGGCCGGCCATTGTACCGATTCTTCCCGCACCCATTTGACATGGGAGCGGAAAGAATCACGGTCGAAATGACGATCGGAACGGCCATCGACATTTGAACTGACGATCGACATAGGCAGCTTCGATCGCCCCGAGCAGCAGACCCTGCCCCGCGCAATCGACCAGGGCGCCCTTGGGCACGAGCTGCCTCCGAGGAGAAGGCGGGCGCCGCGCGCGGGCGGGCGGCGCCCGGCGCCTGTGCTTGTTGGGCCTCCTGTGGGGGTCGCACGACGACCTGCCGGGGCTTCCGCTCTGCCGTCTGCTCCCCCTCCCCCGCCCCGTGCTCCTTCGCGATTCGGCGGCGAGCGATGGGGAAGGAGCAGATGGAGGAGGAAGAGGAGGAGGAGGAGGAGGAAGAGGAGGAGGAGGGGGAGGAGGAGGAGGAGGGGAGAGGAGGAAGAAGAGGAGAAGGTTGGAGGAGGAGGCGGAGGCGGAGGAGGAGGAGGAGGAGGAAGAGGAGGAGGACGGCGAGGAGGAGGAGGAGGAGGAGGAGGAGGAGGAGGAGGAGGAGGAGGAGAAGGAGAAGGGCCTTCTCGGGAGGCTCGGGGGCCCCCCAGGCTGCTAAGGAGTCTTCGGGGCCTGCCCCGAAGACGCAGAGCAACTTCCCAGGAGGCGCGAGGGCTCCTGAAGAAGTCCCGCGGCTTTCGGAGAAGGCCTTCTCCTTCTCATTTCCCCCCGTGCTCGCCGCCGAACGAGACTCCAGCGCGTGCGCCGCTTACTTGGATACTGGGGCAGGGGTCGTAGGTAGGCCCTGCGCCGAGACGCGCTTGCGAAGAAGATGCTGAGCGAGTCGGTTGCGCGTGACAGGGGGTTACCTCTTTACGACCCCGTGGGCCTCAGTTTCAGATCAAGGTGCGTCAGTATTGTGGCCCCTGCGTACCCTGACAGCTAAGATTTGCATATTGTTTAAAGTAGCCAGAACAGGTTTGCAATTCTCCTCTTCTTGCGGCGGTCGGTCTGCGTCGGGCACTTGCTGTTTTCTTTACCTTCTTTTCTTGCGGAACACGGATTGAACCCCCCGACGCACCGAGCCAAACTGAGTTGTTTGTTTGGCCAAGCCGTTGCGCCTTCGTCCCTTATGCCAGGCGTGATGCCAAAATGTGTTGAGCCCTGGTAGGGGGCCCATGCCCACTGGAACTACCATGATGCGTCTTTGACCACGACTCCCGCGCGCGACATGACGGTGCTCACCGGCCACTTTGATCGGGTGATGGCTGGTGCTGCCAAGCTGGCGCGCCACGCCTGTCGACACGAGCCCACTTCCGTCGCTTCGATCTGCATGGGGGAACTCGGGGGGAGGGGAGGGGAGGACAGACCTTGGGGGCCTGGGGAGGGCCCGCATAACGCAGTGACAGTCAGGGCGGCATGGAAGGGGGAAAGGTGCAGAACGACGAAGCGGAAGAGGCGGGCAGGAAAGCGACGGGAAGACAGGATGCAGAGCTGACGCAGGCCCCAAAGTTTAGGACACGCAGTGGAGTGCCCGAGCACATCGCGGGCAACACCACAGCACATTCATCCACACCACGAAAAGCTTGTGCTCATGACTGGTGATGGGACGCTTCGCGATCCAGTCGCTCGCCAATCGGCTGGGCTCACTTTGCAGGGCATGAATGTGCAGCGCGATTGCGTTCTCAGAGAGCCGAGAGAACAGCGCGAGCAGGAAGTTCATTCACAAACATGGAAAAGGATGCAAGTTGGTTAACGATTGCCTGATACCATCTCAACAACACATGCTGATATTGCTCGTCACTCGCAGCTGGCGTCTCCAACCGAAAGTGAGAACGCCACACACGTACTCATTTGTGTGTACTCACTCTTGCCACATGTGCAACATTCCACCTCAAGTTCGCAATATATCAACTCTGGTCAGACCTCGTTTGAGACATGGCGGGGCGTATATCGCGCAAACAAGATCTCGACAAATCTGCTGGATTCCGGAAACATCTGTATGGCGGCAACCTTAAGTCTGAGGGGAGGGGAAGAGAGAAAGAGAGAGAGAGAGGGAGAGAGAAACCCGGAGAGATAGAGAGAGAAAGAGAGAGAGACTGATATAAACAGAAACAAATACGCACATATAAAGGGTTGAAATATGTCATGATATAGAAAACGATGCCGTCAGAGTTACTCGCCGTACATTGTGTGAGCGCCTTCGCATGGGATATCTGAAATGGTGCCACTGCGCAATTATCGGCCTTTCTGGCCCAGGCTAAAGCAAACTCGCGCTCGGACTCGGCTATTTCCGGTCCGCACACTCCACAGCAAAGCGCCCAAGCAAAGTCTCGTGGAGGGGCGCGCCAGGCAGCCACCTCCACAGCAGCTGTGCATGGGCCCCCCCTTCTCTTCCCAGACCAAAGCCACCCAACCAGTGCGGAGGGGGCGTAGAAGCGTGACCCAATGGAGTTCGACAGCGATTGCTCCGAACTGCGCGAGCAAGGGGGTAATCGCGTGGGTCGCTTCCCACTGCATGAGGGAACATCTCGCAGCCGCCGCGCGCCCTCCAGGGCACCGAAGGGCGGAGATCCGGGGCAGACAGATGGGCAACCGTCGCGAGCGGCGAACCCATGCGTATCCGCGCCCTCGCGGCCTGGACTCCGGGGTCCGATCCCGTGGATGCGCGGTCGCACGGATGCGCTCCGCGCGTTGAACCGGGACCGAGCGTCCTGGCACTCCTATAGGCCTACCACGAAATCTGTTCAGAACGCACTCGTGTCCTAATACCAACAACGATGCCATGATTGCATGAACCCGATGCATGAAAAGAAACACGGTCTCAGTCAAAAGTGCAATTCAAGCAAACCTGGCCACGCGAAGAAACATCTGAGAACATGTGTTGGTGGGCCCATGGGCAGGCCCGGGCGCTTCTCCACGGCTTGAGCGCGGGGCATCCGAGAACAAGAGGCGCCCCCCGATCCGCGGGGCGCGGCCCAGGGGCCCAAGCCCGCGCAGCCGCGGGTGCGGATTTGTCTTCCGTCCACGACGCCGGGCGAAGCAGGGGGGCGCGGCGGCGACAGAGCGGCATCGGGCCGACGTCGGACAACAGCCAGCCTACACACACAGTCGGACTCGACTGGGCAGGGCACGCGGGAGGACACGAGGCCCTTCCGAGGGCCGCACTGCCACAGGAATGCAAGAAGCATGGGTCGCGAGACTCAGGACACTTTTTGGTCTGCGGGTCGGGAGCGGGCCCCTTCCGGTCAAGCGCTAAACGGGACGCGGGTAGCCCTAATTGGGGAGAGGGTCGACCTACTAATCTGGGCCGCCTGTATCGAAATACCTGAACCTCGGACATGTGCGGCCTGGCCTGCGCGTCTGCGTGTCGGCAAGACGCTGAATGAAAGCTTGCGCTCGCCCAACAGAGGTCCAGAACAAGCACGGCCGAATTGGGCAGGCCATCCGCAAGCAGCAGCGGCGGCATCGCTATCGGCACCGGCAGGAGACGGCACTATGCCGGATGCAATCAAACAAGCAAGCTGCGGGCGCGCGCCCTGGCCAAGGCAGGTGAAAACAAGCAGGGTGTGACGACGCGCCTGGGTCGAAAGGCGGCCGCTGCCGCGATTGAGAGGTGCAGCCGTCGGTGCAGAGGGGGACCACACATGCAGACTGAGCAAACGAGCTATGACGCACGGGAGGCTGGACGACCCGAGTGGGCGCGCGCCACCCCAGCCGGGAGCGGATGAAGAGGCGGGTGGGGGGGGAGGGGGGGGGGCTGAGGCAGGCACGGCTGCTGCAGCCTGACAAATGAAATGTCGGAATCCAACTACGTGGAGACGAGCGGCCAGCTCGAATGCTGCCACCGAGCCAGTAACAGCTGAGCACAGCATGCCGCCCGGCTCTAGAGAGAGGAACAGTCCACGCTAAGCCACACGAGGTGGAAACGTGCACCAGATCTGGGCAAAGCCAACGCGAAGAACAGGCTACGAGCAGCAATGGGTGAGCCAGAGCGACACGAAACCAGAAGCTCAAAGGGGCAAAAGGGGGGGCCCAAAGGGGGGCAGGCAGACTGAAATTCCGCAACTGGAATACAGGTTTGGGCATGCTGCAAGAAGAAGCATCGAATGCTGACACCGAGTCGCAGAAGCCTGGAACCACATAGAAGCAAGTGCCAATGGCGGACAGACTCGAATACGTAATGAATGATTGAATGCACAGCCCTGTCAGCGCAGACCGACGACAACTGCGCAAGAAAGGGAGCGCCGGACACGGTGCGACTGCGGAAGCAAAAGGGGGGGCCCGAAGGGGGCGGCCCACAAGAAGAGAGCCTGGAAGTACCTACAGCAATCTTAGTGAAGGGAAACTGGGACACACAAATAAATACACACAAATAAAATGATTCCCCATATTTTCCCATAGTTTCTGGGTTTTTGTCTTCCCCCCCATTTCCCATATTTTCCCATATTTTCTGGGAATCGCAGATTAATGGTGTCTGTGTGTTTTTTCCCCTCCTGACTTAGGCTGGGCCCCAGAAAAGAGAAGGCAGCGGATAAAGAGGCCTGAACAGAAGGCACTGGCTCGGAGCAGCGCATGGCAAAAATCAACTGGTCTTGCACTCGGGCTGGGGGAACATCCGGATACGCTTGCGATCGACGATCGAACCAAGCAGTGCAAGCATCCGTCTCGTGCGGGAGCACGAATGCAACCCAGCAAGGCTGGCGCTGAAATTCTTCTTGTCGCTTTGCACATCTTGGCGCCGCACCAACGGTCGTCGTGCGTGCTAAACCCGCAGTGGTGGCGCGCTTTGGCTGGTTGGGTGTGCGCTTAAGGCAGTGAATCCAGCCACCATCAGCCCTCGAAACAGGCCATGACCTACCGACGCAACTCTTGCAGCTGGGAGGGCGGAGTGCGTCTGAGGCACCCGCGCCTGGCTCTCCCGGGTTCCGTCCTGGCGGCTGGTCGTACCCAGATGCCTTGCGAGCCTCTCGAGCGGGCAGGGCGGAACGCTCGTGCTGGGGTAGCGAGCCGTATTGCGCTGAGTCTTCGTAGGCGATTCCTGCCCGCCTGGCCCGAAGGCAGGCGTTGATGCCGCCTTCGGTCAACTCCTGGTGAACCCTCGCGTTGTCATAGTGGCTCTCGTGCAACCATGCTCGCGAGGAGGAGGCAACTCCTGGGCTCTTCCCTTGGCGCGGCGCGGCGCCTTTCGGCCTCGCTACTCAAACGCGGGAATATGGAGCGCGATCGAGGGCGACCCACATGGGCAGGCGCAGGGGAGGCTTGGAACCGAAAGAGCCGATGCAGCTGCGCGTCAGCGGAACTGCTGGCCTGCTGGGCGGAAGCGCCTGCCCTGCTGGACGACCGAGCCGTCAGCGCAGGCCGAGAGAGCACGGCGCCTAGCCTCTCACCCTCTGGAGAAGAGCGACGTGTGCATCGGGGGACGCGGCTCGGGGCGGCCCATGGGGGCAGGCGCGGGATCGAACCTTGTCACAAAACGCGGGCTTTCAAGGGCGTCTCTGGCGGCCCGGGGAAGAGGACAAGCGCATCCATCGGTCGAGACGGGGATGGCTGTCACGCTCGTCAGCAGCACGCGGAGCTGGAATACTACTGAAGGCCCTGGCTGTGCATCCCACAGAGGTGACCAAACCAAAGTCCCCTGACGGAGGCAGCACTGGCAGAGACGCGTGCTCCGCGGTCGCTGGACCTGCACCCCGGGCATCCGCGGCATCACTGGGCCATGCCGGAAGCGAGGCTGGCCCCTGCACGTGCCCGAGCGGCAGCGGGGGCAGCACGGGGATGCCAAGACACTGGGCACCCTGCGTTCGCGGGACAGGTAAGAGCAGCAGGAAGAGCCACGGCGGGGCGCCTGGGCGGAGAAGGCGGTGGCGGATGGCGCGGGGGGGCCCCGGGGGGAGGAGGTGACGGAGGAGGAGATGAATGAGGAGGAGGAGGAGGAGGAGGAGGAGGAGGAGGAGGAGGAGGAGGAGGAGGAGGAGCCCCGGAACAGGAAGAGCCGCGGGGGGCGGCAGCGCCGCGGGCCGAGGCGGAGGCAGACCATGGCCCCTCCACGCCCGCACGACGCGGTCGCTGTCCAGGGAGCGACGCGCTGGGCCCGTGCAAGGGCAGGACGCGCGTGCGGAGGGGGGGCAACACGGCCGAGGCGACGGCTCGGGCCCGCAGCAGCGACGGGGGAGGGAGGCCAGAACAGCGGGGGGCCAGACGCAGAAGCGAGAGGAGAACAAGAGGGCATCCTGGGGAGGGGGAGCGAGAGAGCGAGCAGAGGATCGCGAGGGCATCCTGCGTGACTGGGGCCTCCGTTTCGCACCCCTCGCTACAGGGCGAAGCGGGCAGGAGGTGGGTTAGCAGCAGCAGTGATCAGCAGCGGGAGCTGGAGCAGGGGCAGGAGCGCGAGCGGGAGCGAGAGAGTGACGAGAAGGCATGGCTTGCCGCCCCTCCACTGGAGCTGGACCTCAGGACGGAGCAGTAGGCGAAGCCAAGCGTCTCTAAGCCCTTCTCGGGCTTGCAGTAGATGGGCGCCCTGGAGTCCAGGAGGGTCGCGGGCGGGGGTCGCACGCGCGCCCCCCGAGCAGAGGACACCAGGTGGCCTGCACAAGCTGCAACATGGCATGGCGGTGCGGCCCACTCCCCGATCGGCGTCGTCCTCCCTCGCCGCCTCCGACGGCGCCCGCCTCCGCCATGGACAAAGAGGGCATCGCGCAAGAGCGAGGCGCTCCGAACGCATGCGGTGGTGTGGTCCTCCACACCTCCCTCCCTTCGCCTCCTGCCTTCGCCTCTTCCTCCTCCTCCTCCTCCTCCTCCTCCTCCTCCTCCTCCTCCCCCTCCTCCTCCTTGTCCTCCTCCTCCTCCTCCTCCTCCTCCTCCTCCTTTTTGACGTTGGCCATACATTAAGCGAGTGTCCTCGCCCGTCTCCTCCTCCTCCTCCTCCTCCTCCTCCATCATCATCATCATCACCATCACCATCACCATCACCATCACCATCATCATCATCATCATCATCATCATCATCATCATCATCATCATCATCATCATCATCATCATCATCATCATCATCATCATCATCATCATCATCATCATCATCATCATCATCATCATCATCATCATTCTCATCATCATCATCATCATCATCATCATCATCATCATCATCAGCATCATCATCATCATCAGCAGCAGCAGCAGCAGCATCGTCATCGTCGTCATCATCAGCATCAGCATCCGCATCCGCATCAGCATCAGCATCAGCATCAGCATCATCATCATCATCATCATCCTCCTCCTCTTCCTCGCGCCGATCCTCCTGCTCATCTGCCACCTCCTCCTCCTCGGAGTACACAGCTACGGGGCCATCTAGGAGGCTCCAGGAAGTTCCAGGTCTGCTATGGGAGAGGGCGGACAGGAGGACATGTTTTGACCGACTCCCCCATCCAGGATCTAACAAAAACCCTCCTGGAGGGGTCTTTTGAACGATCCCCCCCTCCAGGATCCCCCAAAAACCTGTCTTGGATTGGGAGGGGCAGGATGTCAGATCTGGCGCGCGCGCGCACCCAGCTTGACACCCCCCGCTTTGGCCCCCCCTCCTTTCGCGGCGAGCGAGCTCGGCGCAGGCGCGCTCGAGCGAGGCGCCCAAAGTGAGAGGCGGCGCGGCTCGGCGCGGATGGCGAAGCCCCGACACCCATACGCTCCTCGTGCTGCCGCGAGGAGCACCGCGCACGAACTTGGCTGCCCCGGTACGCATCACGCAACGCGCAGCGCATTGATACACGGAGCTCAACACGTCCACTGAGGATGTAGGCCTGACGCGATGCGTTCGCCGCAACGCGGGCCAATTAGTTGAGCCAAGACGCAATGCATTGTCACGGACGTCTTGACATGGGCGTCCCACAACGGCGGCGACGACGACCACGACAATGAAGCACACGGAACGAAAGGGGTGGCTTTTCTGGCCACGGCGACCCTCGGCCACATGAAGAACAACCGGCTCCTCGACCTGTATAGGCCCAGGGCGCGGCCGACAGCCCGAGCGCCTCTCGGAGACCACCCCACGAAACGTGATGCGACGACGACGACGACGACGCGACGGAGCGCGCCGATTCTGCACGGAACAGCGCTTCCTCAATCCGCTCCCTTCCTCCCCTCCCCTTCCCCCCCTCCTCGACCGATATAGGTCTACGGTGCGGCCGAGAGCCCGAGCGCCTCTCGGAGAGCTTCCCCCCCAAACCCAAGGGGCCCGAGGACACACGAAGAAATGCGCGCAGATCCCAGGATCCCCGATCTTTCTTACATACTTTCTGGGTTGTCGTCTTCCCCCCCCCCACGTCCCCTATTTGCGTATATTGTCCGGGGGGTCGACGGTGAATCGTGGCTGTGAGCTGTTTCCCCTCCTGACAAACGTGATGGCAATGCCGCCTGATCTGGCGACGGAGCGCAAATCCCAGGATTCCCGATCTTTCTTCCATGCTTTCTGGGTTGTCGTCTTCCCCCCCAACGTCCCCTATTTGCGCATATCGTCCCGGGGGGTCGACGGTGAATCGTGGCTGTGAGCTGCTTCCCCTCCTGACAGACGTGATGGCAATGCCGCCTGATCTGGCGACGGAGCGCAAATCCCAGGATTCCCGATCTTTCTTCCATGCTTTCTGGGTTGTCGTCTTCACCCCCCCCACGTCCCCTATTTGCGCATATCGTCCCGGGGGGTCGACGGTGAATCGTGGCTGTGAGCTGTTTCCCCTCCTGACAAACGTGATGGCAATGCCGCCTGATCTGGCGACGGAGCGCAAATCCCAGGATGCTTTCTGGGCTGTCGTCTTCCCCCCCCCCAACGTCCCCTATTTGCGTATATTGTCCGGGGGGTCGACGGTGAATCGTGGCTGTGAGCTGTTCCCCCTCCTGACAAACGTGATGGCAGTGCCGCCTGATCTGGCGACGGAGCGCAAATCCCAGGATTCCCGATCTTTCTCCCATGCTTTCTGGGTTGTCGTCTTCCCCCCCCACGTCCCCTATTTGCGCATATCGTCCCGGGGGGTCGACGGTGAATCGTGGCTGTGAGCTGTTCCCCCTCCTGACAAACGTGATGGCAATGCCGCCTGATCTGGCGACGGAGCGCAAATCCCAGGATCCCCGATCTTTCTTCCATGCTTTCTGACTACCTACCAGACCACCCCAACCCAACCCGAAGACCCGAATTTCGGGTTGGGGGGGGTAAGGGTTCCACATGTGTTTTTTCGATGTTTCCCGACCCCCCCCCACTGGAAATCGAGGGCAAATCTGAGCCTTCGGGTTGGGTTGGGGTGGTTTGGTGGGCGGTGACTTTCTGGGTTGTCGTCTTCCCCCCCCAACGTCCCATATTTGCGCACATTGTCCCGGGGGGTCGACGGTGAATCGTGGCCGTGTGCTGCCTCCCCTCCCGACAGACGCGATGGCAGTGCCGCCCGATCCGAGGCGACGGAGCGCGCCGAGATCCTGCACGGAGCAGTGCCTCCTCGATCCGCTGCCCCTCCCTCCCTCCCCTCGCCCCCCTCTCCGCCTCCATCGCCTTCCTCCCCTGCTTCTCCTGGCTGCCTCCCCGAAGCCCTCGGTTCCGTCCTTGCTTCTCCTACCCGTCCTCCTCCTCCTCCTCCTCCTCCTCCTCGTCCTGCTCCTCCTCCTCCTCCTCCTCCCTGCTCCCCTGCCTCTTGCTGTAGAATCCCTGCCCTGTCGAGAAAGCAGGCCGCACTGTCCCAAGATGAGGCTCCGATGAGGTGCGGGCGATCGTGTCTTCCGGCAGAGGTGCGACTGGCCACCGTCCACCCAGGATGGCCCGAGGTCGGCCCCTGGAGGCGGAACATCTTTTTACATAGAAAAACGAACCCAGAGCCTCGAACCTGCACGCCCTTCCTGCTGGCTGGAGCCTGTGCTTGGCCACCTCAAAATCCCCAGACGTATAACATCCCCTCCCAGCTCCTTCCTCTGCTTCCCCGGCAGGACAGGACAGGACAGGACATGGAGCCCATGTGAGGGCGGATCCCCTCGCCGCGGTGCTGCCTTCCCCGGTGACGCTCCTGGCCTGAAAATGGATCAGCGCAGCTTGAACACACACACACACACACACACGCGCGCACACACACACACACACACACGCACACGTACACGCGCACGCGCACGCGCACGTACGCACGCACGCACGCACGCACGCACGCACGCACGCACGCACACACGCACGCAAGCACACACGCACGCACGCACGCACGCACGCACGCACACGCACACACAGACACACACACACAGACACACACAGACACACACAGACACACACACACACACACACACACACGCGCGCACACACAGTCACACACGCACGCACACGCACACCACGCACAGGCACAGGCACAGGCACAGGAACAGGCACAGGCACAGGCACAGGCACATGTACAGGGACAGGCACAGGCACAGGCACAGGCACAGGCACACGCACACGCACAGGCACAGGCACGCGCACGCGCACTCGCACCCCCCACGCCTACCCCCACCCGCACAGGCACAGGCTCAGGCACAGGCACAGGCACAGGCACACGCACACGCACACCTCACCCCCACCCCCACCCCCACC